AACTTCAACCACAGGCTGCTGCAGCCATGATGGGATGAGGATCCCCCTCCCCTATCTCCGCAGCTGTTACTCACTCCCTTGGGAGAAACCCAAGGCGCTACCCTCCCTCGGGGTGGATGCTTTTTTTGGCCTTCGCCCACCAAAATGGAGTTTATTTTGAGCACCCAGATGCTCAAAATAAACTCCATTTTGCTACACTTCAGGCTTCCTGTGTCTCCCTCTCGGCTCCAGACCTAACAGCTGTGCCATCAGCCCTCAGACACAGACCTGGGGCTCTGGGACGTTGTTTTTTTAATTATTTTTGAGACAGAGTCTCACTCTGTTGCTTGAGTTGAGTGCTGTGGCATCAGCCTAGCTCACAGCAACCTCAAACTCTTGGGCTCAAGCACTCCTCCTGCCTCAGCTTCACGATTAGCTGGAACTACAGGTTCAAGCCACCATGCCCTGCTCATTTTTTTGTTTGTTTGTTTCTATTTTTAGTTGTCTGGCTAATTTTTTTCTATTTTTAGTAGAGATGGAGTCTCGCTCTTGCTCAGGCTGGTCTCAGACTCCTGAGCTCAAGCGATCCACCCGCATTAGCCTCCCAGAGTGCTAGGATTACAGGTTGTCCTCAAATTGTGGCAATTCCAGGGATGGTCCCCAAGAAAGGCAACAGGGCCTTGCCTGCATGGGGGCTCGAGTGATTAATAAACCAGTAGAAGGATCCTGGAACACCAGTCCTGTGCTCCCACCTGTTTACTGACCGTCTGCTCCTTTCCAGTCACCTCCAGGGACTGCGGTGTCTGGGGGCTCATTCACGAAGGAGAACAGAAACAAGGCTCAGCGAGACGCTTCCACAAGTACTGGCCCAAGGTCCACTGACATCCCCAACCACTGCTGGAGAAACACAGGCAGCCCTGAGGAAGGCCAGCTCCTTCTTGTGGGCACTAAACACTGTGCCCCGAGCATGTCCCTCTTCACAGTGGCTGCTGGACACCTGGCAGTCAGCCCCAGGAGCAGGCTTACCTCGAGGTCTATGCCGTCCTCCCCTCCTTGTCCTCTACCCAGACTCTTCATTGTGCCTGCCTCCCATGCCACTTTGCTTTCAAGTTTTCTTTTTGATTTTTGAGTTGTGAATTTCCCAGTCCCAAATTTGCATACAAAGCAATTACATCATGAATAGCAAGTGAATAAATGCGTAATACAGTAAGTGAATTAGTGCCTATGGTGCCTCCCCTCTGAGCCCACCACCACGCAGAGGCTGGACTTGCAGGATCAAGGGCCAGAGGAGGCTGCCCCTGGGCAGCCAGGGGTCAGAGGGCACAGCTGCCTGGGGGTATCTTCAGGGGCATACTAGGCAATATAGAGAGTGGGAATGGACAATCTACTATGTGGACTGGAGAGAAAATGCCCTCACCTGGCAGCACACTCGCTCACGGGCCAGCCAGCATGTTCTCTCCCTGCAGCATTACTGGGGAAGCTGGGCCACAGTCAGGGAGGGGCCTGCAGAGCCTGCTTGCAAGGGTGGGGTAGCAGCCTGGGAGTTACTCTGTTGTCTTCCCTCCCACCCTCTCCCAGGAGACCCCCATGGCTGCAAACCCTGGTCTACACCCTGCCTTGATCATCACAGAAACTCAAAAGGATGTGATTAAGGAAATGAAAGCAGGAAGGAAAAAAGAAAGAATAAACCAGACAGGGTGAGAGAAGCCATGTAGGCAGCTGGCCACCAGGGGAGGCACCTGGGCATGGGGAGATAGGAGTTCCCGGGAGGGGCTCGGAGGAAGAAAATGTGTCAGTGTGTAAGATACTGGGCTATAAGGACAGTAGACACCTTCCAGCTTCTGTTTACTGCTTGTTTGCTAACCGCAAGGCATTATGAGTATATTATGGGATGCAGAGGAAAAAGACAAAGAGCAGAAACCGGAGTCTCTCAGCTAGGACCCGGAACAGGTTAGGGCCTATCAGGGGCAGGCTGAAGTAAGAATCACTGTGGGGGCGGATGCAAGACCAGTGTGTAAACAACTAAGTTATAAAAGGGGACTAACACACAAAGGAGGGTCCCTGCCCTAAGAAGAGGTCACTGCGCTGGCACTCTGGGAGCTCGGACCCTAGCTCGAGCTAGACAATAAAACTCCTTTTGATAATTACAGCCTCGGTGACTCTGTCTCTCTGTCCTGCGGCCTTGTGAATCTCGAATATAACAAGTGGTCCCCCACTGAGCTCAGCCCAGGTCCCCTGGTGAGGCCGTGGAGGGTGTGATGGTGCCTTCAGAGGGGAGAGCCCACCAGGGACCACTTCCCTGCCCAAGGGGCATGGAATCCCTGCTGCATCGTCACCTCCAGTGGCCCAGCATGAACATGGTGGGGCAAAGGAAGATCCCGTGGGGACGGCGTAGGTGAGCCAGGTGGAGGGGCACAGGTCTCCACTGTGACGGGCCTCTCACACTCTGCAACCAGGACCTACACAGGGCAGCAGGAGATGTTGCAAAAGAAACCTGAACCACTCTCCATGGTGTCCAAGGATGCTTAAACATCCTGACAGACTCTCTGGGCCCCATTCCAGGGACAGCCAACGAGCTCCACTAGACTCACCAGTGGGAAGGAGTGGTAGGAAGCTGCCTGCTCCAGCAGTGGTTTGAGCACTTCAGGCTCCAAAGGCTCAGGTTCAGGCTCCAGGTGCCCTGGGGGTACAGCCCCCTGCAAGACCCCAGAGACTTAGTGGGGTCCTGGAGTGGCACTCTCCTGTCCCCTCAGCAACTCCGAACTCCCAGCTGAGCTGTGGGGTCAGTAGAAACAGCTGGGGATGCACCCTGCTGTACACTGCCCTGGAGTTCCCCTTCCTTCTCCCACCTTCCAGATGGCCCCTCTCAGGGAAGTCACCCAAGCACTCCAGAAAGAATGAAAAGATTCTGAGTCTGTGATCTGACCATCCTCCAACCCAATTTGGCCCTTAACCAGACTCTGGCCTGTACCTGGGCTTGGTGCCCTCTCCCTGGGACTGCCGTTCATTTTGTAAAAAGAAATTCAAAGTCTCAGGACCATCCCCCAACTCTCTGTGCAGAAGAGAAGGTGGAAGCCTCAGGCATAGTGAAGAGTAGGCCCCACATACCATTCATTGAGGAAATTCCTCAATGACCTCCCAAAAGCAAGGACATGCAAATTGCACCTTTGTCTGGTACCTAAAACTAAAGCCTGTTTGATTGCACACTAAGAATGAATTACAAGTTGATCTTACAGGTAACAGAACTGGAGACAAGACAGAGTCAGACATTCTTCCACCTGCCCAGGGACGTCTGCATAACTGATGCCCCCTCTCTCCCTTATTTTACATACAATGTGGATTTCTTGGGCCTCACAAGAATGTAACCACCACCTCATCAGCCCTTTTTCCCCCTGCCCTTTCCTTCTCTCTGCTGCCTTTACAACGCTGAAGGTCCCCACCTCTCCTTGGGAAAAACAGCCACAGCTTGTCTGCAGTTCACGTTTTTCCCAGTGTGAACTAAAATAAAATCTTAAGGCTCACCCCTGGCACCGGCTGACTGAATGAATCCCCTCATGGCCAAAGGAATACCCAAAAACTAAATTGCCTGCCAGGAGGAGGGAGGTCAGAGTGCTTCATCACACCCCCTCCCTTCTTGGGGACATCCTTTGTAACTAAGAACAGGCCTAAGGTTATGCAAGACAAACCTGCAGGCCCTCAATTTACACAACAAACCTATGTCTGGCGGCTTATCTGATTAACAGCTCCTTACAGTAAAACATTCCAAGCCTTTAGACAAAGTTTCAGGTCTTTAACCAATTACAAGTCAAAGAATCTTTGAACCCACCTATAATCTGTAAACCCCCCGCTTCCAGATGACCCACCTTTTCTGACCAAACCAATGTATGCTTCCCACATATTGATTTATGACTTTACCTGCAATCCCTGAAATGTGTAAAACCAAACTGTGACCCAGCCACATGCTCAAGTCCACTTGGTCAAAGCTTCTTGGGCGTGGCTCGGGTCATGGGCCTCAAATTTGCTCAGAGTAAATTTCTTTAAAATTATTTTACAGAGTTTGGCCTTTTTTTCTGTGGACACCAGGCACCTCCACAAAAATCGTGGCTTAATAAACCTCCATTGATAGAGATTTTTGTCTCAGTCATTTACTCGGTGGACGATTTCATCTCTGATAGACCAAACATCTGCTCTCCAGCTCAGCTGCTCCCTCTTCCTCCTCCCCCTCGAGGCGCCCCACCTCCCCACGGTCTGGCTTCCAACGCCAGATCACCCCCACCCCACCCCCACCCCACCCCCACTCCATCCCCACCCCATCCCCATCTCCACCTGCGGAAGGCACCGCCCTGTCTTCCGCCCTTTTGCCCTTTTAGAAGCCCGGAACTTCAGAGTCCCCTGAGGCAGGAAGCCAGGCGGGGAGTGGGTGGCCCACGCCCTGGCCCGCAGGACCCGCCCTGCAGGGCACAGATGGCGTAGAGCAGAGGCCGAGGCCTAGGGTGGGCGTCAAGTGTCCCCTCCCAGGGCCTTCGGCGGTGCTCAGCTGGCGGGGGCTAGGGTTAGAGGCTGTGGAGGCCTTGGGGTGAGGGTGGGGCCCTGGGAACACCTGCTCCCGCAGAGATGGTCTGCAGGTCCCAGGCTGACTCCCCCTCAAAGGGAAGAAGGAAGGTGCGGGATGCGGGCTTGGGCTGCGGGAATGACGGAATGACGAGGCCCGGACCGAGAGAATCGGGCTGGGGATGGAGAACCTTTGGCCTTCTGAGTTCAAGGTTCCTTTATAAGCACCAAAGGAGGCGAGAAAAGCTTCATCTTTCTCTGTGGCACCCCTTTTAATAAAAGGATTTGCTCTGTAAAACTTGGATTCAGTCAAAAGGCCGCACTTAAGGACAGGGCAGGCCAGGTGTTTCCCTGGGGCTCAGGGCCGAGCGCGGGTGGGGCCGCGGGGGAGGGGCTGGGCGTGGGGCAAGGCGGGCGCTGGGGCGAAGCCTCCTTCTCTGCTCCATCCAGCTCCACTCAGGTCGAGCCCTTCGGCGTCATGCGGTGCTTTGGTGTAATCCTGTGGGCTTTTCTGGGTTCTCCGGAGTTTGCTGGCCTCTGGATCACACCAGGTAACGGGCGCGCAGGCGGCCTGCACGCACTCGGGGTGGCCCCTGCCTGGGGTCCTGTGCTCGCGGCTGCGGACCCCTGCACCACCGCCCGGTTGCCACCCACAGCTTCGAACCTGACCTGCTACCAGTGCTTCAAAGTATCCAGCCCCGCCAACTGCCTGCCCGTGCGGTGCCTCTCCACAGACCAGGTCTGCGTCTCTAACGAGGTGGTCTTCTTCACGAGTGAGTCCCTGCCGGCCAGGGCGGGCCCGGGAAGGGACGGGATGTCACCGCCTCTCTGGGCCTCAGCGCTGCGACCCCGCTGTTCGCAGGGCTTGGGGCTTGGGGGAACATGAGAAGCACTGGTTGACCGCACCTCCTGCTGTCCTCCTTCCCGCTGGACTTGGCCGAGCATCCACGGAGTCTGAAATTTGGCTTCTCTTTTTCTCCTCCATTTGAACTGTCACTTTCCCTAGGAACCGTCAGCAGGATGAAAGCTCTGAGGTCACTGAATTTGTAAAGACAGCGGAAAGCTGGGGGCGGGGTGTCCCTGCGGTCCTGGGCGCTGCACAGGGGACTCCTGCCCTTACTCACCAAGGCCACGCGCTCACTGGCGACCGCGGTGCTCAGGAAGTAATCGGAATTTATTTTTCAAAGAGCCTTAGCTGGCGGCCCCTGCAGTCCTAGGGACTCCGGAGGCTGAGGCAGGAGGATGGCTTCAGCCCAGGAGTTGAAGGCTGCAGTGAGCTATGATCTTGCCACTGCACTCCAGCCTGGGCGGCAGGGCAATACCCCCCATCTGAAAAAAATAAATAAAAATAAATTTTTAAAAAGTCATAGAGAAAATTAGAAAGTAAAACACTAACACGGTCCTAGCCCCACTGAAAGGTCCCATTTTAAACCACTAGAAACACTCGTTTACAAAAGTATAAAAGTATCCAGAGGACAAACCATTCTGCTCTGAGGAAACATAGTCATGGGTTGCTAGTTCTAGCTCCCTGGGGACCTGCCAAGGCCAGCAGAGCTAGCTCCCTGGTCTCTGTGGATGCCAGTCCTAGGGCTCCACAGCAGCGCAATTCTTTTAATGGAGCTTCCAGAATGAAATTTAGGAAGTCTCCCATTTCAAATGATGCAAGAAAATAAATATTGCACAGTTGGGCCTCCTGTAGAGAAATAGTAGTGGCACCCCTGCTACACTCCCGGCCCTGAGAAACACAGGCACACCCCACCACGCGCCAGCTGCGGAGTGGCTGCTGTCCAGTGGCCTTTGCCAGAGCGCCCCACAGCACCCCAGCGGCTCCCACTACTGCCAGGGTGGGGCCTGGCTGTTCCTTTCCACCTTCACCGATCTGGCAGCTGAAAGTGATATTTCAAGGTGGGATTTTCTCACTAGGCAGCTAGACTGAGTCTGAGGCCCCAGTGTCCCTGCTGTGACAGACCCACTCTCCCAGGGGGGGTGGGGGTCTCCTCTTTTTCTTATTGAGATGAAGGAATTTATTTGCATGTGAGGTGGGCCTTGACCCTGGCCGAATACTGTTTGCTCTGTTTTCCCTCAATTTTGTTTTTCTTTTAACTTTGTTCCCTTTATGTTTGGTTCCACCCAAGTTTTATGTTTACAGTTTCTCTTGGCCTGGAAGATGCTGTAACTGTGGCCCCTCCATGCCAGGAGTGTGAGACAGTAAGGGCTCTTTTCCTGGGCCAGGAAAGCTCCCCAACTTTGAGATCTGCTGGCTGAGCAGCATTGGGGGGGCGGGTAGGCTTCACAGCGGCTCAGACTTGGGAATTCCATGCTCTCTGCTGGAGGCTTTCATCAGGCCATCCTAATTCCTAAATCATGTGCCTGAGCAGTGTTCTTCATGGCCCCTGGTACACTGTCATGCTATAGTACAACACAATGTAATCTAATGCATTACAATGGATATAAAGTAATAAGACGTAATACAATATAATGTAATACAACATAATATGTTGCAATATAATACAATATAATATACTGCAATGACGTATGGTATAATACGACATAAAAGAATATGTAATTCAACACAATATAATATATTGCAACTTAATATAATATAATATACTGCAATACAATATAACAATGTAATTTAACATAATGAAATAGAGCACAACAGGACAAGCATAACATAATATGACACAATAAATAAAGGTAATTCCACCCAAGATGGTCTTTACGGTTTGGGTTTTGAGTGTTTTGCTTCCCTTCAGGGATTGGATGGTTGCCCAGGCTTGATTTGAACTCCTGGGCTCAAGACATCGTCCACCTCAGCCTTCTGAGTAGCTGGCACTAGGGGCAGCGTGGTGCTCAGCCTCTGGCACATCTTTAAAGGGTCAGTCCAGAGCAGTCGGAGCCCAGGGCTGGGCGCCCAGCAGGTTTCCTGTGCTTGCCAGACCCTTTCCACTCTGCTTCTCCACCCTGTCTCCTGAGACTCTCTGCTCTCTGCGGGCTGACAGGGGTGCTCCAGGCCATGTCTGGCTTCAGGGGAGAGCCCCCAAGGCCAGCCATCCTGGAGTCTGTCTTTGCTGTGCCCTGGCTCTGCAGGGCCAGATCCCACCCTCCAGTTCTGGTCCTCACTGCCTGCACAGAAAGCACCTCCGTGCCTCTCCCCTGTAACCAAGGATCCCTTCTTCCTGGGGGTTCTGGGGCCACCTGCCATCTCTTCTCTTCTGCAGAACACAGCACGAGAGTTCTGCTCAGCAAGCGTTGTGCTCCCAGATGTCCCAACACCAACAGTAAGTTTAAATGGTCACTGGGATCTGGGGTGAACAGCTTAATGACCAGGCACTGCTGCTCCAGGAACCTTTGCAACAGAGCACCGACAACAGAGGAGGGACTCTGGGCCCAGCCAGAGATGCTTCTTCTCCAAGTGGGCCTCAGCCTCCTCTGGACCCTATTATGAGGACCCTCGCTCTGCACCCCTCAGCCCTGCTGACCCATCCTATCTCCTGCCTCCATCCCTTCCAGGACACTGGGGTTGAGGGGAGGGTGTTGTCACCTCGCCCAATCCCTGTTTGGGCCCCTTTGCTCAGGAAGCCCCCGCTCCTCTCAGAGAAGAATGGGAATCCTGGTCTGGGTGACGGCTCCTTCCCTGAACAGACTGTCCAGGACCCTATGAGTGGCAGCAGAGCCCGGACGAGGCCAGAGCTGTGTGGCTCCCACCCTGACTCTGGCCCTGCCTTCCCATCTCTTTTCACCTCAGCCCTAGGGGGCCCAGGCAGGGTAACTGTGTGTGCCCCCCACCCATGCATCGTGACCATGACCTTTACTCCTCTCAGAGACAATAAACAATAAACTCTCATGCCCCGTGGTACCCGCTCCTTCCTGCTCTTTCTCGTGTCCACTCGCCCTGCCCAGCTCTCAGCACAGCCTCTGTGGATGGGCACCAGCCACTGGAGCAGCCAGATCTGGACAAAACCTTCTAGCTTGGCAGCCTGGGGCCCAGCACTGGGTAAGCAGCACACTACAGGCTCAGGGCTGGGACCCCAGAAAGGCACTGTGCAGAGGTGGGAGGGCAGTGTGTGACAGGGTTGGGGTGCCTATCTGGGTGGCTGCAGTGAGACACAGGAGGAGGCCTGATGGTTGGAGCCTGGCCCGGGGAGGGCCACCAAGTGAGGGCACAGGGGAGACCCAGGGTGGAGTGGGTTGAGCTGGGCACCATAGGACATCCAGTGACATCCTGGCAGTACTGCAGAGTCCCTCTGCACAGGGATGAGGTAGGGGGCAGTATCCAAGGCAGCAGAGACCCCAGATGCAGGACAGCGCTGGGTCTCCAGCCTGCTCCTCCTCCCAGGCCCACACTCCTGCCCCTCCCATCTGCACACCTGCCTCCCCCAACTCTGCTCTGGGTCATACACCTGCCCCCCATGCACATGTGTTCTGCCCCATCCCTAGGACCAAGGTGGACTTGGCAGCCCTGCAGGTGGGCACAGGATGACCCTGAGCCTTGGGTCCCCTGTCCTTAGCAGGCTGCAGTGCTTGCAGGGTCTCTCCAGACAAGACTCCAAAGCCCCAGGCAGGACAGGCCCTGGCTCTCCTCCTCATGTCTGCGAACTTTCAGGCTGAATGTCAATCCCACTGCTGGGGTAGGGTGTCTCCTTGGGACAGGCTCACGTGCACTGGGACATCAGGATCTCTGAGTCCCCAACCCCTGGGCAGCCAACAAGGCCAGTGCTCAGGGGAGATTCTTGGCCCCCGGCCTAAAGGGTCCTGTTTTCTGCACAGGGGCTGGGGGAGTGATTGGGCTGTGAGGAAGGCAGGCCTGGGGGGGCTCTTCCCTTTGGGCCACTTTTCCCTAGGAAATAGGTGTGTTGGGAGCCTCACAGGAGTCACCCATTGCACCAGCTGCTCCTTGTGCCTCTGGGAACTGGGAGCCCTGTTCTCTCCTCTGGATAAGGGACCCAGGATTTTGGGCCCTTTGGGGCAACTGCTCAACTGAAATCAGAAACTTTGCTGAATAAATGGATTTTTAGAAAAAGAATGAGTGAAGGAAAGATGACGATGAATGCTGACTGAATGCTCCAGAAATTAATGATGAAGGCCTTCTTGAATAAATAAATAAATGCTTAATGAGGGCTGAGGACTCGAGACCAAGAATTGGCAAAAGGGGCCATCAAGGATGAGTGAAGAAGGTCTTGTAATGGTGTCTCACTGTTGTTTTAATTTGCAGTTCCTTAGCAATGTAGAGCCTTGTTCCATATGCTTTTTGCTAGCTGTTATCTTCTTTGGTGAGATGTCTCATCAGATCCTTTGGCCATTTTTTAACTGGTGGTTTGTTTTCTTATTATTGAGTTTTAATATTCTTTGTATATTTTAGATAACAATCATTTGTCAAATGTGTGTTTTTGAAATATTTCTCCCAGTCTGTAGCTTGTCTTTTCATTCCCTTAACAGTATCTTTTGCAGAGCAGAAGTTTTTAATTTTAATAAGATTCAATTTATCAATATTTCATTTCATGGATTATGTTTTTGATATTGTATCTAAAAACTCATCACCAAACCCGAGGTTGCATAGATTTGCTCCTATGTGTTCTTCTAAGAGTTTTATAGTTTTTCACATTTAGGCCCTGAAGCCAAAAGCTCAAAGTATAGGACAGCCCTGGGTGCAGTCCCACCAGTGTGCTGGATAAAAGGTCATTTTATAGCATTGTAGTGGAGACAGGAGCAAGTTAAAGTAAAGAGAAAACAACTAGAGGCCTGAGAATTGAGAAAAGTACAATCTATTTGCAGCTGAATTAATAGTATCTCAAAAACTCTCATGGATCAGTGCTAAGACCAGGAAAATCAATAACAATTCAATGAGGTAGAAGAATATGAAATTAAAATGAAAATCAGTAGCTTTTTTATATTTAAGCATTAACCAACTAGAAGAGAGAATGAAAGAGAAAATATCATTTACAATTGGGGGAAAAAAAAGCTAATACTTAAAAATAAATCTGACAAAAGCATGCAAAGCCTCGGGGAGGACACAGCCTCGAGCCACTGCAAAGGTGCTCCTTGTTCTCAGGCATGACGGCTCCGAATGTCTTCAAAACAGCAGCCCTTCCTAACTCATGACATATTTTCTTTGAATGTGATTGCATAAAAATAATGATGCTTCTTTTTCTTGAAGAAGACAAGTTGAACTACACATAAACATAAACCTTCAAGGTCAGTTAGGAAAACTGAAAAAAATTGGGTTACTAGGGGGAAGAGATTAAAATATAGAAAAAAACCCTCAAAAATTTAGGCATAGACAATCAAGTGAAGTAGAATAGATCAGAAATATACTCAAGAACATATGGAAACTTAGTGCACAACAAAGGAAGAATCTCAAATCTCTGGGTCAAAGGTGAACTTTTTAAAATAATCAGTGCACAAACAAATGAATAGCTACTTGGAAAAAGTCAAAATTGGATCTCTACTCATAAATCCATGTATCATACATAAGAATAACCTAAATGTTAACCAATCAAAACTTTACAAATACCAAAAGAAATGATATGTGAATATCTTTATAACCTGGATGCAGAGACAGGCTTCTTAAGTAATTCAAAATCCAATGCAAAAAAAGAAAAGACTGACTAATTTGACTGTACAAAAATGTAAATGTTTTCCATGGGGCCCACGCATACACGCCAGGAGCTGTAAAGAACCCTTCCAAAATGACAGGGAGGTGAGCAAAGGACAACAGCTTCATAGAAAATATGAGCAAATACAAAAACAATTAGCAAAAGTGATATAAAACACCACTTAAATGCAAAAAACAATTTAGCTTCACTTGTGAAAGAAACGCAGATCATAGGAGCATGCAGGACGACAGGCAGGGGCAAGCAGCGGCGTCCATGGCAGCACGGCCAGGCCCAGCTCGCTCAGGGTGACATGGCGTGGGCTCTGCCCCGTCTCTCCCACTAAACGCAGCTGTAAAACCTGAATGAGAGAAATACATGGAGAAGCCATCTGAGGACTCCAAACAGAAAATATTTAATAGTGGCAGGAAGATCAAGGAATAGGACAAATAATTGGAGTGCTACCACTCCAGTGGTAAGTTTCCCCTTTTTGTTTTGTCTGGTATCTCCTGGCCTGGACCCATGGTGGCCCACAACCTGGACACAGACGCCAGGATGTGGACAGAGGGTCTCGAGGAGCCTCTCCCTGGCTCCCTCGTTAGTGGGATGGCAGCCACCACAGTAGGTTGCTAAGATTCCAAGGGAAGACACTTGTCGCTCCAGTCAGAGGAGCTGTGATCTCTCTACACCTTCCCACCTCATGACCAGGGAGGTCCAGGGGGACGTCTGACCACCACGGATAACAAGCCACAGCTTTCTGACCAGATGCCCCAAAAGAGGAATCCCAAGTGGCTACACAGGCCAGAGACATGCCGCAAGTGAAGGACTTAGGCAACCAGCCCCAGCATGTGGGTAATATAATCCCAGGCTCACTCCAGAGCTGAGCACACAGGAACTTGACCCTGAACATCACAGACTATGGGAACTAAACAACCAGGTCCACCTCCACGGAGATTTCAGATTGGCCCCTAGGAACCCAAACGCTGCAAAGGCTTCAACAGTTGAACTTCCATGGAGGCCACAGGCCACAGCAGGCACCTGCCCTTTCAACATACTCCCAGCCAGGGTGGCTGCCTGCCAAAGCCACAGGACAGCATTCTCCAGAGATTTAAATAAGATGCAGTTTTACACAACACAGCATCCAGAATGTCCAGGACACAACCCAAGTTGCTTTTCATACAAAAGATCAAGATCACAACTAGCAGGAACATGACAGTCAATAGACATCCACGCTGAGATGACACGAAGGTTGAAATTATCAAATGACACTGTCTTTAAAGTCATCACAAAAATTCTCCAAAAAGTAAGAGTAAACACTCTTGAGACAAACAGAAAGGTAGGAAATCTTATCAAAAAAGTAGAACATGGTCTTGTAGAACTGAGAAACATAATCACCAAAGTCAAATCCTCTCTGGCCTGGCTTAGCAGCAGAACAGAGATGAGAAAGGAAACAGTCAGGCAATTTGAAGATAGATCAATTATCCAATTTGGACAACACAAAGGAAGACATTGATTTAAAAATGAGCAGAGCCTCAGGAACAATACCACCAAGTCCAATGTTTGTGTAGTTGCTGTCCCAGGGGAGAAGACAAAGAGTGCAGTATGGACATCGTATTTGAAGAAATAATGGCTGGTAATTTCCAATTTTGGACAAAAGACATAAGCCTAAAGCCCATAGATTCAAGAAGCTCAGTGAACCCAAACTTGGATAAATTCAAAGAAATGCACACCCACATTTATTATAATCAAACTGCTGAAATATATTGGCTTTGTCACAAGTCAAGGTTCTCATTGTGGGAGAAAAGAGATTTAAAGAATGCAATGGGAGAGCAAATACGGAATATCATGGCAGTTGGAAAGAGGCACGATTATGAAAATATAGAAAAACATATTTAAACAACAAACCCAAATGGCCAGACTTTCTACAAAACAGTTGGCCATTACTCTTCAAAAGTGTCAAGGTCATGAAAGAAATCAGGACCGAGGACTGTTCCAGATCAAACCAGACTGAACGAGCTGGACAGCCTGGGAAGCCTGAGGTCTAACACTGGACGCTGGGTGGGGAAGGCTGCCAGGGGATAGCTGACGAATTGGAACAAGGTCTATAGATTGGATAATTCCATGGTGTCAGTGTTAATTCTGTGGTTTTGATCATTGGACTATAGTTATGGAAAACGTTAAGATTTAGAAAATCTGTGCAAAAAGTACAGAATAATTCTTGTACTTTTTGGCAACTTTTTATAAATCTGAAATTATTCAAACTGAAAAGTTAAAAACGAAGCCCTCAACAGGGTAGTCGCCCTGACCCTTCTTCTATACAAGCACAGAGGACACACGGTTCTCTCAACTGCCAGCCAAACTGCATCCCAAACACTCTGACAAGTGGGGTTTTTCTCATAAAAATCTGTTCTAGGTTTTTAAAAAATGTATTTATGGGCCAGGCGCAGTGGCTCATGCCTGTAATCCTAGCACTCTGGGAGGCCCAGGCGGGCAGATCGCTCAAGGTCAGGGGTTCGAGACCAGCCTGAGCAAGAGCAAGACCCCCATCTCTACTAAAAATAGAAATTAATTGGCCAACTAAAAATATATAGAAAAAATTAGCCAGGCATAGTGGCGCATGTCTATAGTCCCAGCTACTCGGGAGGCTGAGTCAGAAGGATCGCTTGAGCCTAGGAATTTGAGGTTGCTGTGAGCTAGGCTGACGCCACGGCACTCTATCCTGGGCAATAGAGTGAGACTCTATCTCAAAAAAAAATAATAATAAATGTATTTATGATGCTGTTTTCAAAGAATGTGTTAATTTGAAATGTGTTTTTAAATTTTTACATATGAAAAGATTGCATTTATCTTTTTTGCTATTAATTGCTGACTTAATTGTACCAGAGAATAT